TTGGGCAAGTCAATCTCTGTGTGAAATAGGGTTGATCGCATCATTCAAGGATATAAAGAAACAAAACATGGAAACCAGTCGGTGCTTAGCACTGACGGTGAGGTGAGAGCTGTGACCTTTATCTCTCACGGATAATGTGGCCTCAGGCATTTTGTCATAGCAGTAGAAAGCAGCTGAGGCAGCTGAGACATGGATGGGTCTTCTCAACTCTGGCCACCGTTAGTAGGTTCAGACCAGAGAATCAGTGATCAGAGAGAAGTTCTTATCCCAGATGCTGGTGGTTGTGAGCTGGGTTTCTAGAGTCTGGTAAGTTAGGGTGGGGGGGGGGGTTGCTGTCCTGATCTAGTCAAAAGGAGAGCAAACTTCACATAAACATTTCCCTTCCTTATTCATATCTACTTACTTGATTTTCAAGTGATACTGAGATGGATGGAAATGATTCATTTATCAATTCTTCTTATTATTATTTTTTGTTACTCTTTTTTTTTTAAAGATTTATTTATTTATTTTATTTATGAGTACACTGTCGCTGTCTTCGGACAGACCAGAAGAGGGCATCCAATCTCATTACGGATGGTTGTGAGCCACCATGTGGTTGCTGGGATTTGAACTCAGGACCTCTGGAAGAGCAGTCAGTGCTCTTAACCGCTGAGCCATCTCTCCAGCCCCTTTTTGTTACTCTTAATGTGGTAGAGTATTTTGCCTGCATGCACGTCTGTACACATGGGTGCCTGGTGCCCGGAAGCCAGAAGACATCAAGCTGCCTTGGGGGTTTCGTGGCTCACGGCTATGCTTCCTCCAGCACCATCATGCAGAGTTCTGCATTTTTTCATTTATTTAATAAACATTAGCTGAGAACCATGGCAATGTGTGCCAGACCAGGGATACAAGAGTGTGGTGGTTTGAATTCACTTGGCCCAGGGAGTTTGGAGGAAGTGTGCCACTTTGGGTGTGGGCTTTGAGACCCTTCTCCTAGCCTCCTGGAAGCCAGACTTCTGTTTGCCTTCAGAACAAAATATAAAACTCTCAGCTTCTCCTACACCATGCCTGCCTGGATGCTGCCACATTTCCTTCCTTGATGATAATGGACCGATTCCTCTGAAACTGTAAGCCAGCCCCAATTAAAAGTTGTCCTTTATAAGACTTGCCTTGGCAGCTGGAGAGATGGCTCAGTGGTTAAGAGCACTGACTGCTTTTCTAGAGGTCCTCTATTCAATTCCCAGCAACCACATGGTGGCTCACAACCATCTGTAATGGGATCCAATCCCTTCTTCTGGTGTGTCTGAAGACAGCAACAATGTACTCACATAAATAAAATAAATAAATCTTTAAAAAAAAAAAAGAGGGCTGGAGAGATGGCTCAGTGGTTAAGAGCACTGACTGCACTTCCAGAGGTCCTGAGTTCAAATCCCAGCAACCACATGGTGGCTCACAACCATCTGTAATGAGATCTGATGCCCTCTTCTGGTGTGTCTGAAGACAGCTACAGTGTATTCAAAAAAAAAAAATAAAAAAAACTTTAAAAAAAAAAAAAAAGAGTTGCCTTGGTCGTGGTGTCTTTTTACAGCAATAAAATCCTAAGAGAACAAAGCATAGCCCACATTCTAGAGTCTGCAGCAGGGAAAGAGCTTGCTCGCCCAGCTGGTTCCTGTGGTATACAGAGGCAGAGCCACAGCTTTCGTCTTGGAAGTTGCTCCTTGGAAGTACCATTTATACTTTTTATTTGTTTTGTTGGTTTTTCAAGACAGGGTTTCTCTGTGTAGCCCTGGCTGTCCTGGAGCTCACAGAGATCAGCCTATCTCTGCCTCCCAAGTACTGGGATCGAAGGCATGCACTACCACAGCCTGGTTCATTTGTAGTTTTTTGAAGTATATTTAGCAAGTTAATGCATGGCAGTGGAATGCAGCAGAGGCAGGAGCATGGCAGGTTGGAGGGTCTTATTTATTTGTGTGTGTGTGTGTGTGTGTATGTATGTATGTATGCATGAATGCATGCATGCATGTTTTTGTTTTTTTTGAGACAGGGTTTCTCTGTGTAGCCTTGGCTGTCCTGGAACTTGCTCTGTAGACCAGGCTGGCTTTGAACTCAGAGATCTCCCTGCCTCTGCCTCCTGAATGCTGGGATTGAAGGTGTGTACCACTGCTGCCCAGCTAGGTTGGAGGGTCTTTTTTTTTTTTTTTAAAGATTTTATTTTTATGTATATATGAGTACACTGCAGCTGTCTTCAGACACATCAGAAGATGGCATCAGACCCATTACAGATGTTTGTGAGCCACCATGTGGTTGCTGGGAATTGAACTCAGGACCTCTGGAAGAGCAGTCAGCGCTCTTAACCACTGAGCCATCTCTCCAGCCCCCTAGGTTGGAGGGTCTTAATGCTAGGGACTGAGTGGATTGTCACATAGAACATGGTTAGCTAACTGTCTGCCTTTTGGACTGTGATAGGTCATTTAAGGGTAAATACTGGACCAGGTGTGTAGTCAAACTTCCTAATGTGGCCTGGGGCTGGCGTGGAATTACTGATTCTTCTGTCTGCACTTCCTAGGTGCTGGGCTTCCTGGCTTGGACCTCCACAACTTGGAATTCCAACCTCTAATGAGAACTCTTATTTGATGAGTCAGTTTGGATATTTAGAGGGACCTCTTACAGAAAACCAAGAATTTCCATTAAACCTGGCCACCCCCAACTTCTTTCCTACACCAAACCTAGATTTCTTGAGGAAAGGTCTCCTCTCATGTAACCCACACTGACTTTGAACATCTGTCACTGAGGTTCATCCTGGGTTACTTGAAACTCTGCTCCAAACCAAAACCAAACAAAATCAAGACCTTGATCCTTCTGCCTTCATCTCTCAAGAGCTGTGCTAACACCAGCAGCTCAGAAGGGTTTTTGATTATCTGATTGTGTCTGATTATGTATGTGAGTGTGGGTCCACATACCACAGCACATGTGTGAAGGTCAGGAGCACTTGCTGGCTCAGGGCTCTTTCTACTGTGGGTTCTGGGACTTGATCTGAGGATGTCAGCACATGGAAGCATGTTATCTGCAAAGCCATAAGATTTTCTTTCTTTCGTCTCTTCCTCCCCCTCCTTTTTTTTGGTTGGTCGACAGCCCTGACTTTCCTGTACTCACTTTATAGTCCAGGCTGGCCTCGAACTTACAGAGATCCACCTGTGTTTGCTTCCAGACCGCTGGGATTAAAGGTGAGTTCAGTCAAGCTTGGCTGGCTATAAGCTATTCTTGAATCTCTTTTTTTGTTTTTTTGAGACAGGGTTTGTCTGTATAGCCCAGGCTGTCCTGGAACTCACTCTGTAGATCCGCCTGCCTCTGCCTCCCAAGTGCTGGGATTAAAGGCGTGCACCACCACTGCCAGGCTTGAATCTCTTATCTAGTCTCCAAAACTGCAAGTGTCGCCTACCCCCAAAGCATGTCCTGTCCACTCCCATCTCCCTCCCCAGCCTGCTCAAAACACTTGAGTTCTGACCTATCATGCTGTTTTTCCGTCTTGCCCCCTCTTCCAGTCAACTCGGTCTACAGCAGTGACTTTAAATAGTAGAAACGGCCCAGGGCTGGAGCCCATGTTTATCTTTTTCCATGTGGTTTACTCTACCAGCACCACCATAAAAATAGGTCAGTGATTCTTCACTTCCTGTTAGAAGGCTGAGGCAGAAGTATGGTGTTTGAGACCAGCCTAGGCTAGAGTAGGAAGGGGCTGGGGAGAGAGAGACCATGTTACAATCATGTCATATATGGTGTGGGGAATGAAAACAAGCCTGTATCTCTGAACTACATGCCTAGCCCCTAGTGGGCTCAGTGGGTCACGACCCCTGGAATACAGGGGTCACTTAAGACTATCAAAAAACAGGTATTTAGAACAGTAGCGAAATCACAGTTACAAAGTAGTAATGGAAATCATTTTATGGTTGGGGTCACCGTAATATGAGGAGCTGTGTTAAGGGGTTCCAGCATTAGGATGGTTGAGAACCACTGCCCTGAATCCTTTTAAGAGCGTACACTGTTCACAATGCTCAAGTCTGGCCTGAAAAGCCCCGCCTCCTTCTCAGATTCATCGTGCATAAACTCCTGGTTCTGAGGACAATATCATCAGCTAAGCACTAGACCAAGCCATTTCTCTAGTTCTCTAACTAGCCTGCATCTGTCTTCGGGTCTGTCCTAATGGTTGGTTCTTACCATCCAGCCTCTGGTTCACTCTCCACAGAGGCCTATCTCCTGCCCTATTCTGATTTTCTACGTGTCTTATCTACTGATGACCTTGGGTTGTTAACTGTCATTTCCTCATGGGGTAAGATCCAGGACCTTATTCTCTACCTGGCCCAACAGAAAACACCTACTGTCTGCTGCATGAGACATTTTTTTTTTTCCCAAAGGGGAGGGAGTTTATTCTGAGCAGAGGGCAAAGGTAGGGAGAGAAATGGGAGAAGAGGGTGGAGAAAAAGGAGAGAGAGGAGAGAAGTGGAGGCCAGCCATGACCACGTGGAGAGAGGGGGAAGGGAAGGGAGGAAGGGTGAGAAGCTAGAGGCAAGAGAGTAAGAGAGTAAGAGAGTAGAAGAGCCATGTTGTTCTTTTTGAGCCTGTTTTCCACCCATAAAATGGAAGTCTCTACTTGACAGGGTTAAGATTAAATGAAACAGGGGCTTAGTTTAGTGTCACAGCACCATGTGGGGTCCCCGAGTTCAATTTCGAGCACCACACAGAGGAAAGGAGGGAGGACGGTGGCAGAGTACCTGTCTGGAGTGTTTAAGGCCCGGATGTTTAATCACAAAGGGCCAGCAACCGTTGCTAGTTGCTAATGTCATTAGTGTTTATCCATTCTGTGATGGGATCCCCCCCCTCCCCCGTAGGAGCATGTGCACAGAACCAGAGGGATTCTCACATGCCCTTCAAATGACGTGTGCTTCAAGCAAGTGGGCTAACCTGTCCCTAGCCTGCTTCCTGTCACCGCCAAAGTCTTCAAGGAGGATAAAGAGTGGAAGAGCAGGTGCTTTGACTGGTTTGTAAGTTTATTAGAAAGGCCTTGGACAGATGAACCCTGAGTTACCAGCTGAGGAGGAAATGAAAAAACCCTCATCCCCCGTGGACCGCCTCCCTGGTCTCCTGTGAACTCTGTCCAGTGGCAGACAGGAAGTCTCCCAAAAAGTGCTCTCTGCCTCCTCTCCACGGGGTTGTCCGATCCGACCGCAGGGGCCCACAGTGGATGCGCTTTGTGGTGCTGGTGCCTGCAGCCAAGAGCTGACAGGTTGGGGTCTTTGGCTCTAGCAGAAAGTGGTTCTAGAAACCCAGAACAGAACGGAAAAGGAGACGGCTGGGGACCAAGTTCTGCTGAGGAGCCAGACTCTGAGGCAACGCTGGGCAGCTTGGAGGCGTGTGCAGATGGCTCCTTGGCCAACAGAGGGGAGTCTCGGCCACACACATGAGTGTTCATCCTGGGACTGCAATGGTCAAAAGGGCAAATGGATCTTGTAAAAAATTCATGGTAGATGATGCCATTTTTTTTTTTCTTAAAAAATAGTTTGTACAGTGAGCGGATTTCACACGAAGGAGCCTGAGGCCAGAAGAGCCGGTCCGGGGAGGAAGGCACTTCACACCCTCACGGGTGAGCTGGGCTGCTTTCAGGACTCCATTCCGCTTGGTCCTGGGACTCAGGCTTGCTCCCTCTGGGAAGGACTCTGCCCCCGAGGAGTCTGTCTGCACTAGGTTCACAGGGTGGTGGATGGCAGCTTCCTCACTCGCCGCTGGGCCAGGATGGATGACTCAATTGGCTTGAGTTGGGGCGTGGGTTTGGAGCTATTGAGTGCAGAATACGTAGCTGCCATGGCCCCCTAAGAGAGAAAAGGTAGGTCAGACCACAAAGGAGGGAGGGTAGTGGGCATCAGAACACATGTACCCCAGGGTCTGGCCCACCCCTCCCAAGGTCCCCCAGACCATCCAGCCCAGTGTTCCTTGCCTTGGTGCTGCTTCATGGCTACCCGTTTTCCTGGGACACAAGAATCCATAAATCTGGGACTCCCTATGTCTTTTGCCACATCCCCTGGTTCTGGGTAGACACAGAACTGCCTGGTTCGGTCACTTTAAGTCCCTGCCATAATCCACTGGTCTGAGACCAACCTCAACCCGACCCCAGGGGTCACTGATCACATGGCAGTCCCAGGTGTTCATGCCTACCTTCACAAGCTGCAGGTCTTGGTAGGATAACTGGCTCTGGGGAAGCTTGTCTTTCTGGGTGATCCACGGGTGCTGTAGGACCTGCTTGGCTGTGAGACGCTGGTGGGGGTCCACATGCAGCATCTTAGATACCAAGTCCTGGAGACACATGGACAAGGAGGTGACGGGTGGGGCATGAGGGAGCAGAGAGCCGTGCCCCAATGACTGGAAGGCCAACCGTGTCCAGCCTGAGCCCTTACACAAGCCCCTGCAGTCCGCTCTTTATACAACGAAGCCCCCCTCCCGACCCCATCCCAGAATCCCTTTCTCCCTTCCTTGCTGCTCTAGGATGTGGGGATATCTTTCCCTTTCTCCTTCAGAAAAGCCATGAGGAAAGGTGGGGACTGCCTGAAGACTGGGGGCAGGGAGGGGTCATGCAGACACATGAGGCTTAAATTTGACTCTCCCTGGGGTGGGGATGTAGCTAAGAGTCTGAGAGCTGGCCTGGCATGCACGAGGCACAGAGCTCCATCTCCGGCACAATGAAGAACAAAAATGAAAAGAGAAATCCATGAAAAATCACGGCAGGTATTTAATCCCAGCACTCGGAAGGCAGAGCCAGGGGGATCACAAGTTCAAAATCAGCCTCAGCGACATAGGCCTTGAAGGTCAGCCAAGGCTGGGGAAGATATCTTCAAAGCAAAACCAAACAAACTCAGTGCTCACTGCTCTCCCAGAAGATGAGAGTTCAGTTCCCGGCACTCTAATTTTTTTTGTTTTTCCAGACAGGGTTTCTTTGTGCAGCCTTAACTGTCCTGGCACTCACTCTGTAGACCAGGCTGAAACCAGAACTCAGAGATCTGCCTGCCTTTGTCTCCTGGGTACTGAGATTAAAGGCGTGCGCCACCACTGCCTGGCGATAAGTTGTTTCTTAAGAGCCTCAGTTTTCCCTCTGAGAAACAGAGGTGACAACACCCAGTACAGGCAGGATGCTATTCACCAAGGGCTTAACCATACTGCGAGGCATTCTAGATGAATAGAAATATCCCAATATTGAGAGTTCAAGCCCAGGCTCCTTTGGGGCGGCATCCCACAGGGCTCGGACAGATGTCCACACACCTGGCCAGAGAGCTAGCCACAAAGGGCCGGCATGCTTTCTAGCACACCAACTCTCCATGGAGAAAGACGGGTTAGGCAGCCCCCTGCATCCCTTAGGGCCTAGAACACATAAAGGGCAGTGAAGTTATCCAGACTAACAGGGGAGGGGCCTGTGTCTGGGAATCTTCTACTTGGGGTAATAATGTAATGGGGATTTCTGGAACATTCTACTGAGAGGGAGGCTGTAGGAAACCTGTCTGAGAATTGTGAAAAGGTGCTGATGTCAGCCCGGCTCTGTCCTCCAGGCCTCAAAGTCTCACCTTGGCTGTCTCTGAGACCGTGTTCCAGTTTCCCCCACTGAGGGTGAACTTCCCGCTGCCGATCCGGGTAAGGATCTCCTCTGGTGTGTCACTGGGCCCATTGGCAAATGGAGTGTATCTAGAGAGAAGTCCCAAATTCAGCTTTAGCCTCTGGCCTCCATCCTGGCACTAGGGGGTTAGGTTAGGAGGTTGGAAGCTCCCAAAGGCAGGGTCAGGGGCCCAGCCGTCACACTCACCCTGCCAGCATCGTGTACAGCAGGATGCCCAGGCTCCATATGTCACAGCCTTCATCGTAGCCCTGACGCTTTAACACCTGGCAGGAGGCAGGGGAGGGTGGTCAGGCTGAGGGGCGTAGGAAACATCAAACATTTCTCATAGGGTAGAGAAGAATCAGGGCCATGGACTATATGTCGTCACTTGGAACCTGGGTCAAGGTCCAGACAGTATGGGATGTTTGAGAGAAGTGACAGGGCCTCCACTTACCTCAGGTGCCACAAAGTTGGCTGTGTAGCAAGGTGTCATGAGGAGCCCGTTCTCAGCCCGAAGCTGCTTGGCAAAGCCAAAGTCACAGATGCGCAGGCACTCGGGGTTCCCAGACTCATCCACATACAGGATGTTACTGGGTTTGAGATCCCTGTGGACGACCTAGGGCCGAGGGGTGGGGTCAGTATATGGTACAGTAGTAGTGACCCATGCCAACTGTCAGAACTGAGAAAGTCACACAGACTGCCACACACACAGAGAAAGGCCCAGGCTTCTAGAAGAGGGGAAGGTATTGAAATAGGGCTTTATGTTGGTTTGTGTTGGTATACTGCCTTAAAAAACAACAACAACAACAACAAACAACCCAAAAACTGTGTGTGCAGATGCCAGGGCATACAACTTGAGAGTCCATTTTTTCCTTCCACTGTGTGGGTTCAGGGGACTACATCCGGGTTGTCTGGCTCGGCAGAAAGCACCTGTGCAAGCTGAACCATCTCACTGGCTCTGCATTGCCTTTCTGAAATCTCTGTGAAGATGCCAGCAGCAGTAAGCCTGCCCCAGTTTCTCCCTCTGACCTGCCCATCACCCGCTCTTTTCTAGGGTGGATCCTGCACCTGCAGTATGGGTCCTTCTCTCTCTCTCTCTCTCTCTCTCTCTCCTCTCTCCCTCTCTCTCTCTCTCTCTCTCTCTCTCTCTCTCTCTCTCTCTCTCTCTCTCTCTCTCTC